TTTCCAATGATTGCACATTGAAAAGAAGCTTCTCGTAGAAATCATGGATTCTGGCTGGCTGTGTTCCTCCAATTGTAGGCAAAGACATGATGTTTTCCACGTACGCGTTCACGACCTCGCTTGTTTGTCCATACTTCCTTGCCAGGATGTTCTTCGCACGCTCGTATCCCTCTACTGAGAAGGGCAAGCCGTCTATTTCCGCTCGTATCTTCGGGTCTACGAGTTCCTTTAGGTATGAGTACTTTGTCACGCCAGCTATTTCTGCCTTGTCAATCTCGGTTTCAAATTGACTCCAGAACCGTGGCCAATCCGTTAGTTCACCTCTAAACTTTGTAATGACGAGCTTAGGAAGTTTGGCGGTCTTCGCTGCTTGATTTGAGGTCGGCTCCGTGGTCTTCGAATGGTTTGCTTTTGTCTCCTCGATCTTCTTCTCATATGTCAGCCTCATCTCCAGTTGCGTTCGTTCAAACTCAAGCTGATCCTTTCTTGACTGCTCCAGAAAGGCTTGTTGACCCTCATTTTCCGAAAGGCGTTCTCTTTGCTTGTATTCTGTTAACCATTTCCGCAAGTACGCGATGTTCTCATCAGCAGATGTTTGGGCGGCTTCAACTGTGAGGCTCCATTCTGACACGTCTTCAAGTTTCTCTCCGTTCGCGATTTTCGCTTGCTCGATTTGAAGCTTAAAATCTTCCACCTTCGTTACGATAGATCTCAAGGACTGAAGTTGGCGGTCCACAGCTTCCACATTTCCCTTTGCGGTGATTCCTTCACTCTTATCCCTTGTGAAGTTGAGCAATTGTAGTTGTGTGTCTAGATCCGTGGTAAGTTTCTCCATTGTAAAATCCCGGCGTCAGATCTGTTTGTTTTCCCTCTGTTCAGTCCCGTCGGAGGTGCCACTTTGTGTTGGGAATGGGATATTTGCTTGCAACACACTGTTGTCCCGATAAACTCGCGCTAAACGGTCCTAAATCACTCACTCACGATGTAAGGTTTTAAACATATATTCTTCACTCACAGCATCCCCGGTTTTATTACAACACAACTCCTGATAATTTTTTAACGAAAGATAAAGCGATTCGTTTTATGTTTCCTTTGATTTGGCAGATTCGATGCCTATCTCTTTCCGGTCACTTAACAATCAAATTCTATATGCGATATGAGGTTTGATTACATATGTAAACACGCGATTTACGACAACTCTTTGTCCTGTGACACTCGCTCCTTAGATCTTTGTATTTTATTCAAGTTTATATTTTTATACCTCTGATACTTTCCGCCCCATTCTTGCGCTTTTCACACGTTATACTTTACACCAATTTTTTCTGGTGTATATTACCACGCGAAATATTTTTCTTATCCCTGATGACGCTGTTGCTCGAAATTAATTATTATTTTTAATTTCAGCAGTCAAAGACCTCATTTAAACTATACTTTCTAACGTTTATAGTTTTGCTACAATGGAATTTTCCAAGAAACATAAGTGCTAACTTGCTCATATTTACCAACAAAGCTTCAAGCCCTGTTGTGATTGTTTAATAAAAGTGAAAGTTTTGAACTTGGGTGCCATTCTTTTCTTTTGCGGAATCCATTGTAAACCTCTAAAATTATGAAAAAAATACCGCGAAGATCTGAATAGGCACATTCCACAAAAGATAAACGAATTCGCCTCGTTGGCACTTACCGGAAAGTACCCCTAGTTTTTATGGCTAAACGTAGTTTTTCTCTTTCCCCCCCCCCCTCCCCCCAAGTTTTGGGGAGTGAGAAAACAGCTGATATTTCCCGACGCTACAACTGGTTTCCCGCAAAATGACGTCAAACGATCGACTAAAGAAATTCCATACTAATGACGTATCACTGTACGATCTAGATAGTGACACGTCATCAGTATGGAATTTCGGAGCTGCTTTTTCAGACTTCATTTCGCGGGGAAACCAATGGTAACATCGGGAAATGTCGGCCGTTTTGTCAGGCGACCAGTTTTTGCGGTTGGCTTCAATCAGAACCAAAACCCTTTTTAGTTTCAAAGTAATCTTATTTCTAAATCCTTCTTCTGGCTCCTGACGTTTCTGGGTAACTGCGCATCTATCCCTCCCCTATGCCAACATTTTGCCCTAAGCGAGAAGTAAGTGTTAATGTTGGCTTAGGGGAGGGGTAGGTGGGCAGTTTCCCAGATACGTAATAACGATCCAAAATAAAATTGTCATCCCAGAGGTACCATCATCAAGGACGCTCTTCAGCTCGTAATGTAGCGTCCTATGCCGACGTGATGAAGTGGAAACCTTCAACGAAGGAGGCTACTCCTTAAGATGCTTCTACCGCCCTTACGATCCTTCTTGATAAGGGAGACCTGGTCATGAGAGCAACTCTTTTTTCGCAAGTACCGATCATGCAATTTCAAAAACAAGGCATAAAATATATATATATCTGTATTCTGTTATAGTATCTCTACTTTGACAATCTTACTACTAAATTGTTTCTCCTTATATAGGAGATTACTTGTGGCAAATATTGCAAATATTGAAATTGATGAGATGTTACATGGAGCACCTGTTGATTCCAAGGGCCTCTTTGATTATGTGAAATTCACCGAAATTATCAAGCACGGAAAGGATGATGATTAACGAGGCATTCTCTAGACATCTGGATGCACAAAAAAAACTTTCCTTTATTTTCTTATACTCAGTAGGCTTAAAGTATTTTTTTGCATTTTTGTATGAAAAGTAAGAAGACTTATTTAATCATAGTGATCTTATTATTTGTTTAACAAGTTAAGAGATTAAATTTCACATCTCCTTGTTACAAAAAAAAATAAGAAAGGTTGTGGATATAACTTTCTTCTTTTTCCTTACTTTTTTTTACGGAAAGTTGTTAACAACGCACAGTTGGAGAGATATACAAATAAAGCCTGTACCAATAAAACCAATATCCAAAAACCCTCATTTTGAAAATGAGGCCAGGGACCACACCTTTTATTTAAAGCACAGGCTTGGAACAACTCAGGAATGGCCTTTTTATACCACATCATTACCATATGTAAATGCCAACATTTTCACAACTGTTTACAACATTTTCATTCTTGGGGCCTCTTTTGAAGGGAACCAATGTGTCTCATCAAGTACCCAGGCACTAGCCTGTTCCAGGCGTTCATATAGTGGGGAGCGGTGCAAAGTAAAGAAGGAGATGAAAAGTAGAGGGGAACTCTCCCCCTCCCCCGTTTTTATTTTTTCACGCTCCTTTTTACTTGACACCGCTCCCCACTATCTGACCACTTGGAACAGGCTACGCAGGCACTCCCTTACCACTTTTTTGTGGTGTACGCGTGTTTGTGAGGTCAGTAAGTGATATTCATTTAAGGGTAAAAATTCATTGAGGGGTGTGAAGTTTTGAACTGCCGCTCAACCCGTTCCAAGAAACCCAGAGATGCTGTCCACTGAACAATGCTAAATTTCCACTGAATATTATAAGTTAAATAAGGGAAGTTTTTTGTATTCCTTTGGTGTTTTCTGTTTGATTATTCACAACCAAGAACGACTCAAACTGTTTAAAACGAGAATGCATCAAAACCCTGATACCGTGCACAATCACAATGTACCACAGCCAGCAAAAGTGTTGTTTATTCACTCACTTTCAATGGATCAATGGTTGTTGCAGATTTTACATACCCCTGGTAGCATTCATTGTAATTTGAGATTGCCAAAAAGTTAAGACATTAAAACTAAAACGAATTATGTTTTGCCAAAAAAAAGTAAGCATAAATAGTGACAAAGTATTCTCCTCATTGTTTTTTGGGTCTGAATTAGTTCACTTTTATGAAACAGAACAATTCTATGCTTTTTGAAAGGTCTAAAAATTTTAAAACACAGCCTTTAAGAGTGCGAGCAGTCTCTCTTTCGTTTGAAAACCCCTGTGAGCGATTATTGCCCGCGTGCTTTCACAGATCTTCGAGCAAAAAAGAAACTGCTCGCATTCTTACAGCTTTTGTGCACACCGTCTTGAGCTCAAGTTGTGAGCGTGCGTCACTTCTTTGAGGCTTCAATGCCTAAGATGTCTCGAACGCGCTGATACCAAGAACCTGTAATAACAACTGCACGAGTCTAAACCGTTGATTCTCTTTGCCATGAGCTTTCTTGCATCCTCAGAAACATTCTGGCTGACTGGTCATAGCTGTTTTTTCTTCTACAGGAAGGCTATGTGTTTTCTTCCCTTGTATTCCGGTTCTTTCCATTTCTTTAGCTCATTTACCTGCTACGTAGGATATAAATTGTTCAGGAAGCTAACAAGAAGAAGACCAGCTGGTTCATTTAGCTTACTAGCCTGCACATTATTTTTACTAAATTTAATTAATCTTTTCTGAATATATTCCTCAGCACGATTTTAAAAAATCAATCATTTACATTGATTAAAGCACGATGAAGATTATTCTTATTCGTCAACCGGAAAAGAGGCGTTTTCCTCTTAATATATCTTGTCGGTTGTCGCTGCCAAATTCATAATAATTCCTGTCTTTTATAGAAAAGACTTGCCCAAAAACTTAGGCGAAAAGGGCCGCAATTTCGTCCCCTTCCGGTTGACGTGCGTCGCTCAAAAACTTAAAACTCCTTCTTATTTTCTCCACACCCACCCTCACCCCCCCCCCTTTCCCCACCGTCGGGCATGTCCCTTGCTCTACGTTGGCTGCGCGCTTGCCTTCGCAAAAAAATAACGCCTGTTCTGAAGATTACATAGCCTGCTTAGCTGGCGGAATTGTTGTGCCCGCGGTTACTTTCTTGGCGAAGGGGCTGCCACTCAACGCGAAAGCGCGAGGGAAAATCACGCCCCGCCACATTTCATATGAATTTTTGAATCCCGCCCATTTCAGGCAAGATTTCAATTTGACTTCCCACAGTACTCGCCTGCTAATCCCGCCAACTAAGCAGGTTACGAAATACAGGTTTGGGGTCTTCCAGTCATATTTAATGTCGCCAAAGTTTGCTTAGCCTGCGAACCGCAGACGTATTTCTGGTCGTCGTTTCTCTCCCTCTGTTATCCCTCCGTTATTTTTCGGAGGGAAAGAAGCGACGACCGGAAATACGTCTGCCTTTCGCAGGCTAAAGTTTGCCTTGCTGTACCTAGAATAAAATTTAAATCGACCTTATTTATATTGATAATATTTGTGTTAGCTTAGCTTATTACATTAAAGCACCAATGACGATCATACATCCTTTGAATAAGCGTCAGCTTTTCTTTTGCGCTTTAACTTCCGCTAGCCACTGTTGTATTCTTTCCTTTAACTCTGCGTGCTTCTGAACCATGCTTAGTGTCAGAGGACTGCGATTGAACGGATCCTTCTGATCGCTATAAAACACAAAAAATTATGAAACATGAAAACCTCTAAGGGACAAAAAGTTTTCACAGACAGCTGAAAATGCAAACCCGAAGTTTATAGAGTTAGGCCGAGGCCAAACGTCGAGACTTGCATGAGACGAACCAAACTCTAATTTGGGTCCACCTAAATTATGTTAAGATCGTCTGTTGGGTCAGACGTCGAACTTAGAACGCGTCGAACCAATAAACTGAATCTGACCAAAAAGCAATTTTAATAAATTTTTTCCCACACGACGGCTTGATATACATTATCATACAATTGTTTAATCTATTAGTTTAGTTCGGCACACATTTGTCCCGGAAACGATCTGCAAGCGGATAGAACGTGTTGGACGATCCAAAATCAAAAAGACGGACTTAACTGAGCCAGACGTCGAACTTTGCATGAACTCAACTCACGAAGTTTGGTTCGTCTCATGAAAAATTCGACGTTTTGCCTAGGCCTTAGTCTTCGGCTGGATTTAAAAATTTCGTAATCGGGAGCGGGAATTTGCCACGTGTTTTCGTTGATCTTCAGTGCATTTTTAGAATTCCCACCGACGAGTTGTTCGAAGCCCTATTAACTTTAATCCTGGACTAACTATAAACAGGGCAAATCAGTTGTCATGGTAACTAACCTGGGTTTTGCTTTCATCATCTAACAAACAACTCGGCCCAGGGGCCCGTTTCTCGAAAGTCCAGATAATTCAAGGGCTCGGTAAGCAGTCTCCGTTTACATTGAAGATAGAGGATTCAATAGTTTTGCATATAACATGACAACACTATCGGTTAATGAAACAAAATGGAGTAGTTTGCTAGCCAAGACCCGTGCTCTTATTCTTTAAATTTCGATTTGAACATTTGATTTCGGGCCCGAAAAGTTACCGGGACTTTCGAGAAACGAGCCTCAGCGGCTTCAGTTTGGATATTACATCAGTCATAAGGTCCCTTTACAAAAGTGTAAACAGACAAACAAGCAGAGACCATCAGCAGAGGTGAAAAGCTCACTTGGCCCATTCCCTCTTACGAGCGATTTTTATGAAGGACAAGCAAGACTACGGACGAGTTAGTGTGGAAGTCCATGTGTCTGTCGCCTTAGTAACTGATGCCTAAACGACGCATGAAATGAACATCTAGGACATGACGATCACCCACAAGTTAAGTTACTCAAAACTGAGACTATAAGGTTAAAAATGGAAAAAAAGATAAGCATACAAACCTTAATAAATGGCGACAAATGGTCGACATGTCCACAATGTTATTTGAAGTCGGGAGAATAACAGGATCGGACATCAACATGTTTGTTATAGGATCAACAAATTCTTCTGGTGGCTGAACAAAAAAATATTTGTTATTCCATATTGCAGATTTAAAGAGTCACCTCCATTTTGCCAGCAAATAAACAAACAAGCAAACAAACAAACAAATACGGCCACAGTTGTTCTAGACTACGAGTAGTCCCCATTTTCCCTCAGGAATAATGGAGTGAGCGAAACGCGAGCGCGCGTGAAAATCACCTCACGCGAGAAAAGCGAGACGCGGTGGGGTGGGGAGAGAGAACTCTCACCGCCGCGCTATCTCGCCTTTCTCGCGTGGGGTGATTTTCACGCGCGCTTGCGTTTCGCTCGCTCTACTATCCCTGAGGAAAAATGGGGACTACTCGTAGTCCCCAGTCTACAGTTGTTCGAAAAGTGGATAGCACTATCCGGTGGAAGAGAAAGTCGAAAAAAAGATCAACATCAATATTCTCCGGACAGTATAAAAACATCATGAAGAGGAAATATTATGAGAATTTGATAAATGGTCATCCAGAGTGAAGGTTTTGATCTTTCGTCAAATTTTCTCAACTGACTCCGTAAGGAGATGTATAGAGATCACTCAGGAGAATTTGTATGTGGATATTATAAAGGGTCTTACCTCTGGCAACTCCTCTTCCTCCTCTTCCTCTTTTTGTGCGCACTCTTCAACGCGGTGCGCAAGTTCACTGAGTCGGAAAATTACAGATGACGGTCTTCCAATTAATCTGGAATATGGGATAGAAAAGCAATTTAACGCCATACTCCATTCGCTCTTAAAAGTACCCGGAAGCAAAAAAAAAAAATACTGAAATATATATTGTAAAATACTAAAGAAATAAATAGTACCAAGAAAGTGACACTACTGCTCCTGAAGAGGTTTCAGTTAAAATGGTCTCACTTTAGGATATCATCCTCAGACTCAAACGTTAGAACTCCATACTAAATAAATAGTACCATGTGAAAGTACTACTGAGGAGGTTTCATTTGAATGGTAACACCATCGGATTTGGTACACAGACTAAAAATTTAGAACTACACTTAAAATAAATAGTACAAAGTGAAAGTACTGCTGAAGAGGTTTGATTTAAATGGTCACATCATAGCATTTCATTCACAGACTCAAAAATTAGAACTACATGCTAAAAACTAGACAAATAGTGCCATGTGAAGGTACCGCTGGAAACGTTTCATTTACATGGTCAAACTACAAGGTTTTGTCGACAGACTCGAAATTTAGAAATGCTATACTTGTCTCCATGATTGCTTCTCCGAATAGAAGGGTTGTTCAATAAGCCGATGCAAGTACTCGGAAAACCAGTTTGACGAGAGAAGACAAGATTGATCAGTCCAGAAGTGAGGGTTGCGGAGACTTCAAAGGCTTGACGTGACTTAGGTAGACCCCTCTTTTCTCTAGACTTGCCAGTCGACCTCGCTCGCGCAGCGACCGAGCGAGCGACGAAGTCTCGAGGTCGACTTGTTTCGCCTGAATGGATTTGAGTCAAATTATAAATTCACGCGGGAAAAAATGATTGACATATGATGTGCCGGGAGCTGCGTGAAATATCACTCACTGTTCTATTTGGTCAATCGTCATGACGTCACCAGTTTGAATTTTCGACTACTGAATTTCGCGCCAAACAGGTGTGAAAAGTGCTTTAAGATGGCATAACCAGCCAGGAGAAAAAATAAAGCACTTTTAGAAGTCCATCTTTTCTCCTCCTCATTCAAGAAGACAAAAGGAGACTCTGCTCTCAGGTTGCCAAAGAACTTACTTTAGGACCCGCTCCGACTGCTTAAATAAGTTAGGAGAGTAGGATCTCTTGTCTGTAGCCACTGCATTGCAAAAGGATTCATCTTCACCCAGGTTAAGGTAAATGTCAACAATGTCAGAAACCAGCTGCTGAGGCTTGAAATGGAACTCCGATAAATTCTTTACCTACATAAAAGGAAATAACAGTTTAACGGCAAAGTTGATACTAATTTAACTTGATGCCTAGTATTTATTTCTTGTGGGAGAGAAATTTATTTTAGACACAGTTGATACGACGGAACTTTATCAACTCTCTATCTCATCATGTGCTGGCAAAGATTTTCGCCTTTCCTTTTTCGTACGCCTTTCCCTCCTAGCACAGGTCTTTCACGGCAAGATAAAATGATAGGAAAGGAGAATACCTCTCTGCCAGCCCCCGATGCGTTTCCTATCACGCATGCGCTGGCATTTCCTTGATAACCAGTATCGTTTTAGTCAATTGCGACACAACTTACATAACCGTTTTGCGCGATGACAACTGTGGGTTCAAAAATTTTCAGTGTGCAGCCTCAACAGGGCACGAACATTCCTCATTAAACGAAACCGGTTTGGAAAACCAGTAAGTCTCGGCCACAAATGGGCGGCGGCTACAGGAAACTACTTCCTCTTTTCAAACTATTAGATTCACAACTTCGACATGTTTACTCCCACAGTTAATTATGAAAGCGTGTAATCTGGTAGCCTGCGAATGTAGACTAGGATGGAGAGATGCGACGACCGGAAGTACGTCTGCGTTCGTGGGCGAGCCATCTGAGTCCTCAACTTAGAACCTATAGTGTCATCATTCATGGAAAACCTCTCCACCAAGTCCTCTACATGTCATATTTTTAATTTGCAACAAATCAGTTAAACCTCTGTCGCGCTATCCTTTTTATCAATATACCGTAAAATTCCGAAAAAAGGTACTTTTTGAGGGGCTTATTTTTGGAGGGGCTTATACTCGGGCTTATCTACGGAGGGAAATTTGCGTTTCAAGATCGATTGAGCTAGCCTTATAGCTGGAAGTAAATTTACTGTTTTTTCTTTGTTTTACTTTGTATTTGAGGGCAATTTTCCAAGTACAAGCGCCCAGGGGGCTTATATTTGGAGGGGCGATTTAACGGACGGTTTTTTTGCGTTACCGGTTTGGGGGACTTACATTTGGAGGGGCTTATACATGGAGGGGCTTATTTTCGGAATTTTACGGTAAATTGTTAACGATTCGGGTAAGTCTTTCTTTTATTTTGGGAACTTTTCGGAGTCAAAATCTAAACTCAGTATCATATCTTGCTTATTTCGATTACCTTGAGTTCACCCATTTTCGGTCCCACCAATCTCAGGAGAAAGTAGTTCAGCATGTCCGCCATTCTCCTTATGAGGCACCCGATAAGAAATGGTCTGAAAGCCAAACAAGGAATGATCAGTCATATCAGTAGAGGGAATATACTTCACCAGCAACACGTCTTCTATTCGAGGCTCTAAAATCCCGAAATCTTTGCAAGATCAACACAACAAAATCTATGAGGTCGGAGGGTTATAGAGGAGTGTTACTGGCAAACGTTGACCGACGATTGTAACTTCAGACTGGTACCAAGGAAAATCGCTGTTATTTCTCTCAAATCTTTAACTTTTTAATCTCAGCTGTCATGTAACTCAACGCTGCTATTTCTCTCAAATCTTTGACAAAGTTAACTTCCTTCTTGTTTGATATACAGTCACAAAATGCTAGAGTTGACAATGAACGTTGCCTCAGGGAATACATTGAACAGAACCTACTTTTTAATCTCAGCTGTCATGTAACTCAGCGCACGGACTGTCTCATTAGCCAGTATATTGTGACTGCGTGCCATTCCACCGGTATGTTGAAGCTCTTGCTCCTTCTACGAACAAAACATTCAGAACAGGAAAGCACAGTTGCAAACAATGAAGAAATACCCGAGACACAACAAAATGTTTTTGGTGGCTTTGGGGTGGGAGTTATTTAAAAACCATGAAAGATGAAAACAACATTCAAATCCGTGTCGTTCAATGGACGATTAGAAGAAACGAACGAGGACGAGTCAACTACGATTAGTTTTACAGTGTTTTGACCCCTTTTATTCCGAAACTGGGTTATGGTGGGATGATTTGTCATTCCAACTTTTGAATCTGTTGAAAAGAAAACCTACGACGTTGCATTCAAATCAAACCTCTTTAAAAGAACTTTTGTATAGTGTCTTTTTTTGCTTGGGATTTTACAAAAAAGGTATTTGAAATCTTTGTGAACGTTTCCTTTGTATCCTATCGTTAGGGCGTAAACGTGTAGGGCATGTTTATCACCTGTTGCCTGGCTTGCTCATTTAGGCTTTCCCACTCTCCACTGTCTTTTTCTGCTTGCAGCTTCTTCAAGGTAGCCATATACTGCATGACAAAATATCATTATACTGGTTAGAGTCAACTTCAGTGACACAAGCTTGGAACCAGGTTCCGTAGTGGGCGTTGGAAAGGCATAAAACGGTGGACTGGAAAGGGGGAAAGGTCGCCAACCTTTGACCTTTCCCCTCCCCAGACTCTCGCTCGGCCGACTCGCGTTTCTTGCCGATTATTTTTCGCCTTTTTTCCCCACTGTGGTGACTGGTGCCAGGCTACAGTAACATCTCTGATTTTGTCATTTACATGTAATGTCTTTGCTTACTTTAAGTTCCATAGCGATTGAGGGCGAGTAATTGGCAAAATTAAACAAAATGAACTGGACTGCCGTGACACAGCCCCTTTAAATATCTTTTAAGTAATGATCCGAGCAAGACAGGGCGCAATCTTTTTTGTAATGACGTTCATTTTCACACAGAGAATGTTTAACCCTACAAAAAAACCAGTTAACAAAAGAAAAACCCATCAGAAGTGAAGTAGAGACAATAGTTAGGCTTAACACCTTTTTACATTCCGACGAGCTCATTGCGTTTGGTTCTTTCCTTCCTATGTGGACCATTACTTAATTTTACCATACCTGAAGAGCTTCATCCAGTAAAAATATAGAATCATTGATCAGCAGGTTGAGGAAGCGAAGAAATGTGGGAATTTTGAGATTACTCCGGTTCTTTTGTACATTAGATGCCTAAAAACAAAAGCAAAAATAGAGAAACTCAGGCCCTGACCACAAGCATCCGAATGATCTTATCTCCGTCTAAAAATACGCGTCCACAAGTAGCGAAATTGAATCGTTCTCGTCGGTTGCCATGAAAACGCTTAAACGATGGAGATAGGATAGCATCCATTAAAGAGCATGCGTAATGCCAGCAGTATACGATGTATGACATCACCTCCGTTTTCGTCCGTCCACATGTAAACTATAAACCGGCGTTTTAAAAAATATCCACTATAGGGATCGTTTTTGAAAACCGGCGCTTTTGGTGAATGAACCGACGTTTACATGTGGACGGAAGACTAAAACGGAGGAAACAACTTTAAAAAAATATACCGATAGAGTGAACGGGGCCACAGTAAAGTGGGAGGCTGGTGAGAGCCCTTTGGGTTGAATCCAGAACCACAAAAGTGGGAAGCATGGTATAGGGAAAAATGTACCTCATCGGCCAATGTCCTCAGAGTATCTTTGTACTTATCTTGTTTCCACATGTATTGCAGCACTGAATACATGTGATGGCGGTAACCTGACAAGTCAAAGAGAAATCAGTAGCCAGTCAGGTATACTACATATTAACGAGATAACTATCTGGCCCCGGTTGTTCAAACGTCGGATAGCGCTATCCACCGGATAAATCAATATCCAGCGGATAAGTATTACGGAAATCAATTACGCTATCCGCTGGATGGTGATTTATCCAGTGGATAGCGCTATCCAACGTTTGAACAACCGGGGCCAGGGTGTCCTGTGAGTATTGCTGGATTGCACGTGACGTCACGTCGGCCATGTTGATGGCCAAGAACAAAAGCATTTCTCTCTTCTGGGAACTTAACTCCATTTTCAGGTAAATTTGTCGAGAAAAAGTTCGATTGTATTGACCCCCAACATGGCCGCCTTGTAGCATGGTTGCAAACCAAGAATTAGCACTTATGCCTCTGTTCAAAAGGTGAGTAACGCTACATGTATACAGTGGATGAATCACATTTGATTACATAAAATAAAAGAAAAACAATTGGCCCTTTTTCAGGAGCCTATAGCACGGAGTGAGCAACTTCCAGGTACTGACCAGTTTCTTTTTAGAACGATTTTGACGCAAATTTAGAATATTTTCTAAGTCCCAAAAACCATTTAACAAAATCTGCAGACCTGAAAACGGTATTTTCACTTTTTAATGGGCTTTAAAATTCCGTTTCCATATCCTATGCTTCGAGTGCACTCATGGACAGAGCGGAGCTTCCATTTTTGAGGGAAAAAATGCTCTAAAATGTGTCTAAAAATAAAACGATCCGTGAAAACGACGTGACATAGGCTCAGTATGGGAGTTGCTTGCTCAGGGTTGTGGGCAAGGCTATATTTACTTGATATAAATATAGTGAAATATGGCCTTCATTGACCACAGGACAGTCAGGCCTGCAGCGAAATTCTGTTGGGCATATTCTAATGTCCTATTCTTACTTTTACATGGATTTCACATCACCACTGCTAACTCTACATGTGATGCAATTTGCCACTTTAGAGACGAAAAGGGACCTGGAGCCGAAATAAGTGACGCAATTGCTTCTGGGATCGTTACCGGGGACGCACCACTCAGCTATTGGCCAATTTTTTTCTCGTCCCTAGCAACAGTCCCAGAAGGCTTTGCGAAAGCAAACTCGACCCAGTCTACTTCTCGTTTCTTAACTTGCGAATTTGTTGGACTTACCAAACTTCTGCTCAAACTGCATAGCATGACCTGTGAACTCAATGTCCACAAAGAGCTGTAACAAGGCCTGAGGGAGGTAGAATGGGGCAATCTTGTGCTGGAGGAATGCATTTTGTCTGTTGAACTGCAGTAAAAGTAATCTAGTGAATCAACTGGACACCTTAGAGAAGTAACTCATCCTTATAGTGGCTATGACTCAAAAGAGCACGACAAATTACCATATAATTTAGGGTATTTGAGGTGTAGAAGCTTCCCCACAAAAATGCCCAGCTCCTCCCCCAAAATAATTGTTATTATTACAGTATATAAGTAACTTTATCGGAAAAATCATCCAGATGCGACAAGTTCAGTGCACACACTGTAACATTTCTCAAAATTATGTCTCAAAACGCACCGGATTGCATCTCAGCGCATATTCATTTCCAAAATTTCCGGGGACCCCCCTAGTAATCTTGTCGCCGTTGGCCACTGGGGACTTCTCCCCCAAAAGATAAATCCTAGAAAGAACCCTGAAATGGTCAGAAACCACAAATAATCTTCTTGTAAAACACACAATGGCTGGCAAGCTAAGGGATTGGGGGTGAAGTCTTGGCAAAATTTTGTGGAGGGGTTGAAAGCCAGCACAAGTTTCCAGATTTCTGATACAAACCATATTGACTGAGGAGGGTGACAGCAGTCCAGAGGAGTTCTGTGACCTGTTGACTGGGATCAATGCTTCCAGCGTTTCCGCTAGTTTTGCCCTGAGATGTGGATTACGTACTCGCTCTGGGCTCCTACATGAACAACAAATGGTTAGTCTCAAGCCTTCAGGTCCCAAGAGTGATCAATATAAATTTTCTCCTAACAAATATCAATACATAATTAAGAGAAAAGTTCATGAGAATCAATAAAATGATCAGCTAAGTGAAAATGCTTTGATCTTTAGACAAATTCTCTCCACTAGTTTTTCAAGAAAATGTATGGAGATCAGTATGGAGAATTTGTATGTGGATATTGGGGTTTGAAGGGATAAAATAAAAATATGTGTATCACAGAACCAGGCGAAGCTTGGAGCAGGAGCCCGTAAAAAGTCAGGGATGGGAGGGTAGGAGAGAAACACAGTCAATTGTGTAACAGGGGAGGGCCAGGGTTCATACAAACAAAGGCAACCACTTTTCAAGGACTCTTCAAGGACCACATTATATTTTCAAGGGCCACCTACTATGAATATAATTTCACACATTGTACAAAAATGCACATTCTCAGTCTACTCTAATAAGGCGTTAAGGCATGAACTGTCTGCTTCACCAACTTCTTTACGTTTTTCAGTTCACTTGTCTAAAATTGCGTGCTAGTTAATTATTGCACAAAACATACAGCATTTTTTGTAAATAACCTTTAAATTCTCTAAGCCATGATTTATATTCTGTCTTGGCCAAACAAAAAGCATCAAAAAACACTTTCCAGGCCACTAGAAATTTAAGGACTTTTCAAGGAAAAATGGAATTCAAGGACTTTTCACGGACTTCCCCTAAAATTCAAGGACTTTTCAAGACTGTGTGAGCCATGAGGGCAGATTTCAAAACCTGCTGTAAATCAATAATGTGCTGTAACCTATCATACTGAAAAGCTGACTTACCCCATATAGATAACAAAAAATGTTACAAGATGATGCAGAGATCGTCCAGCATTCTCCAGGGTATCTTCACTAAAATGCCTACAAAAATAAACAGCAAAGCTTTGATTAGCAATATGCAACTATTCAAAGAGATTTGATGGGCAAAATGCTCAGCAATCCATCTTTATCCCTGTTTCCCACTGCTAAATTAAATCAAACTAAATTTGATAACATTAGAAGATCATGGGTTAGCGATAATTAATTAGCTTCAACCCGTTGACACTACCCCAACCAACACTGAAGAAGCTAATAATGTTAATAACATTAAAATGTACAGTTTCAAACTGGACAAGAGACATCATGCAGGGTTAGCAATAGCCTGGGACTAGGCTTCGCATTGGGCTCACGAAAAAGCAGAAAAAAAATCGGCAAGTGAAGAGGGCTGAGCGGTAGTCTGGTTTTTAGCCTTTTCCCCAACTGCAGAGCCTGGTGCCAGGCTAGTTTAGCAAGGGGCAAATGTATGCCAGATGGAAATGAGGTTTGGTTTTCATACAGATAACATTTTATAAAATACGTATGGATAGCATGAAAATATATTGATTACATTCCTAAAAGCTGCTACTAACACCATAGAATTTATGTCACACTTTATTTCTCAAAATACATATTGCAGATAAGTATTTGTTTTGGTCGTACAAGAGCATTACTTTACCTGAGGAAAATTATGAAGTCTGCCATAGTCTCCACAATGAATTCAGGAACAAAGAGTAATCCAGCTGGAGTCTATAAGGAAAGAGAAAGTGAATTTTGGTAAAATATTGCAAAAAAAAAGCTGCTACCCAAAAAACCATCAAATTACAACTGGTTTCATTTAAACAGTTACTATAATTATAATAACAAATGAAATATTCTCTCATGGAAAAACGTTCACTAATGGGTATCAACTTAATGGACAGAGGCTGATGGCTAACAATTAGATAACAAACCTTATTTCAAAACATTCTTAAAAACTAAAAAATAAGTCTAAATGAGAAAACAAAAATTTCTTAAGATGTAAAAAATCAATTTAATGGATTGTCCACCAAAATATATCTACATTTAAAAAATACCCCCTTCTAATAACAAAACAAACAAACAAAGTAACTATAAGTAAAAAAAGCATGAACAAGATAAATTATCCACACCTCAGTTGGAAGAGGGATTTCCACTTCTTTAAAAGAAGTCATTTCCTCAAAGTTGTCGCCAGCCAGTGCTAGTTGGTTCAGCCATGATGCAGTTGCTATGTAAAACTGCAGTACCAGATCAATCAGTGTTGGATTAAGAAGATGTGTCTGTTGAAACACAAAATATGTCACATTAGAGAGTTTAAGATACACCGTCTTTGTCAATGGGTACAGCAAAATTATCTGTACCCGCAGCGATGTGTCCCTGTAGATTGCCTCTCACCAAGGAAAAATGGTATCAGTGCCATAGATCTGGGAAATCATGGTTGACATTTATATAAATACATTGCAAACATATTTGCCTACTTGTACCCATGAGCATAAAAAGATGCACTCATGTATCCTAAGGTTTTTATTTTCACACTAAATTTATGTTACCTCAGCTTTTCATAATTATTACTTGTTTTGCAGTTAATTATTTTTTGCCCTCTTTTTATGATGAAACGGTGCACTGTATTAACGATTTTGTTCAATGAATATAATCATTTTTAATGACTTTCTAAGAGCCTGACTGAATTAAATGACTTTCCAGGTTTTCCCATGACCATACAAACACAAAAACTAAAGATATAACGGCTAAATTAATGAGCCCCCATTAGATTGACTGTAAAATGAAAAAGAAGAAATTAAGAGGTATAATTAAGCTGATATCAGTGGTACCTTCAGAGACAGCTGTTTAATGATGCTGTTCTCAAACTGAACTTTATGCCTCTCATTCAACATTCCTTCAGTTTGGTACATCTGCTGTAACTGAAAACAAAAAAAAATATTCTCTTACCATCTCTCTGAAGAGGACTACCGCACAGGTTGTTAAAACATCATGCAGTCGCTGTCAACAACAGTCCTATTCTGGACTACATTCACCCGGACGATCATACTCAATCTACTTACCAGTATTCTCTTTGTATATAATGTTATGGGCTAAAATTAAATTCAGTTTAATATTTTCTAAAATTCTCTATTTCCTTTGTTTCCTAACCGTAATTATTAAGGTCAAGAGACAAAGGAAATTGAGAATCAATCTAGGTTAAAAAAATTTAACGTGAATTTAATTTTGACCTGTAACATTATGCCAATTTCCTATAAGATGGAGAGGCAAAATGAATAATCTCCATTAAAATTTCTAATTATTAGAAATTTTAACATCAAGAAATACAACTTGGGTGGTAGCCGCTCTTTTCACTTCTGACCTCACTGATGCAGTGAGAATATATATTACTGGCTTTTCCTTTGCAACACACCTACAATAGCACATCCAAAAAACTTATGGTGTTCTTGTGTTGTTTGCAGTCCAACAGTAACAACTAAAAATGTCTCTAGCTTGCAAAAAAAAATTTCTGCCACAGCAGCTGCAGGATCAATATTGTCAAGATCAGCTACCTGTGCTAACTCATTCATGAGTTTTCTGTACTTCTCACAAACTGTCCACAAACCTAAGATTGAAAGAACAAACACAAGTGTGAGGTGCATTATTTTTCTAAACTAGTCAAGTTCAATAAACAACTGCATCACTGAATAGAGGTTGGGTGCCTGGGATGTGTAGGGTCTTTTGAGTTTGAGTTTCCAGGGCTAGTAGTCCCCACAACCTGACCCAGCCTTGAGCCAGTGGGTTTGCAAATCAGCCAGATTAAGTGTAAAAATAAGAGTTCAGGTAAGATGATCACTCTTCCTTAACTTCTGAATTCTTGGACAAAATCCTATGGTCTTGCCTTTCAAATGGGAGAACTTTTGAATAGTACTATTTATGTTTGAGATTTTACAAAAAGAATTTTGAAACTATTTTGCAAATTTTCACTTTTGTCACTGTTAGGAGTGATAGGGTTAATAACGCCTGTGACAATAAAACTTTACAGGAGAAGGCACCTACTCAAGGAGGAGTACTTAGGGCAAGAGTAATGGCAGGGTATGATACTTCGCTCACTTACCAATGCTAAGACAATGGTGTGTCATGAAGAAACACTCTGTAACAAATCCAAACGTTTTTGTGATCTTTAATGTGATTTGTTCTTCATCAGGTGGTGCAACCAGCCTTGTTTCACTGTCCAGGCCAACAACATGTAAACCAGTGGATTCCTGTCCAATGGCGTCGCTGCCAACAGGCACGGCACAGTACTGGGGGTTGATCTTCAACAGCTTGGGCGAAAGAGGATCCATAAATGGCTGACACATTTTGAGGAGCAAAGTGCTCAGATTAAGAAAAAATCCATCTTCTGCTTGAGACGTGGCAAGGAACTCAAACATCTGAGCAACCATCTGTGACAAAATAAGACAAAAATTAAACTATGATCTACAAGAGAGACCAAAAATCCTTGGGACAGATGATGGATACCTTCCTTTAACAGTGAAAATGCATAAAAATCCCCAAAGATGCAAAATTATTCATGACATATGTCCCACTGGACGCAAAGATCAATAATGATAAATCAATCTGAACATGTGTATTTAGTACAAATATCCTGTTTGTGTAATTTCTGTGGCAGTTATTACAGCTGAGTGTTTTGATGCAATGGCATGTGGCCAAGGTTTTAGCCAGACGGGTGTCCAGCCATCCTATGGACACCCATTTTTGGAATAAATACAAGGAAAATTCACTTAATCTCTGGTAATTTTAAGGGAAAACGTGCCCTCTGGATGGCCAGTTTTCTGTGTTTGGCTAAAAGCCTGCATGTGACATGTTCTCAACCAATAAAATGCAGTTTAAATGTGCAGGAGGTATAACAATCTGCTGCAGGATGTAGAACATGCACTTCTATCTACTTTACAAGCACTTACTTTCTTCCTTATGATATTTCCATGAAGGCATGCTCCGATCCAGTAGAGAACTTGGTGCTTTGAAAAAGTTGATCGTTTCATTATCTCCATAATCACCTGTAACACAACCAAACATTTTTAAATCAACCGCGTTATTTTCAGAGGTAATCAGGCCTCTTGCTCCCCGCTTCTAACTTGAGAAAACAGCTGTGATACCACCTCTGGTTTCCCTGCAATTGAAATCTGAGGAACGAGTGCAGAAATTCTCTACCGATGACTCCTGACTACCAAGATCTGGGTGGTGCTTCTGATTGGCTGAAGCAAATTTTCCACGTGGCACTACCAATTAAAAGCCCTACCAAGATCTGTGTAGTGATGCGTCGACAGTATGGCATTTCTGTGCTTGTTTCTCAGACATCATTTCCTGGGGAAATCTCTTGAAATGCTGGCTGCATATTCAGGCTACCCTGTTTGCTGTTTAGATAAAAAGTACTGATGACAAAATATGTTTGGCTGTTTGTTCGTTAAAAATTGTCAAAGTGAAGTTTAGGACTTTTTTTGTATTGCATCCTGATTAATCTATACACACCTTGTGAAGTTTGTCTGATAAATCATCCAGATGTGTGCGTAAGTTGGCCATTGTTGCCTGTATCTCAGCATGACTTGGTTCAGTTGGGCGTTGGAAGAATTCCTAAAGATTTGCAGAAGTGATGATAATAAATAACATAACAAACACTGAGACAGTGACTTATCTTTACACAGATACCCAGCACTGATTATACGTGAGAGTTACAGAATTGCCAAAAAGAGATGTGTAGAGTATTTAGGAGTAGAGGAGAACCCCACTGATATGAAATACAAATGGTCCCAAACATTTTGAAGAGGATTAAAGGTGACTACCCACCGATGGTTTGCTCGGATCCCTTGACATACTGGTAAGGCCCAAAAAATACCCCAGAAGAGTTTGTCTTTCAAAGGCATGTCCAGAAATAGAGCCCGTGGGAGACTTTGAGGGAAACCAGAACTTTGATGACACAAGTATCTGAAAACATAAAAAAATATTACTACACCAAATAGGCCAGAGAATATTATTATATAACTGGAAAACTACTAAGTGACTAACATCAGTTTTCTCCTAACGATATCCATAGACTGTCAAGAGAAAAGGTTGCTGGT